CCAGGAATAGTCAATTGTCTTACAATTCCCTGTTTATCACAAAGAGCCTTGAATTGCTCTGATAGATACTCACGTCCGCGATCGGTTCTTAATGCCTTTATTGTTTTGTTCAACTGATTCTCTACCAAAGCTATAAATCGCCTAAAGCAATCCAATGCTTCGGACTCATGGGAGATCATAAAAACATAACCGAAATGCGTGAAGTCATCTATAAAAGTGATGAAATATGAGGCTCCATGCCTCGCCCTCACATTTAAAGGATCACAAATGTCAGAATGTATAAGTTGCAATGGAAGTTCAGCTCTGGTTCCTTTACCAAAGGGTTTTCTAGTTATTTTTTCCACTAGACAATGTTCACATACGGATAGTTCAACATTAGCGAGTGACCCCAAAAGGCCTTCTCTTGCTAATCGTTTCATTCTTTGTAACCCAATGTGACCCAGTCTAGCATGCCAAGTACTTGCATCAATCTCCACATTACTAGAAGATGCAATTAAAGAAAAACAATCATCAACATTAACTTTGTACACATCATAGTCAATGTCTAACATCATAAAACCATTCAATATATAACCACAACTGTAGTAAACTGTTCTAAACAAAATATCAATAAAATCACCATGAAAATTAAATACATAACCTAAGCCAAGAAGAACAACTACAGAGACCAAGTTTCGCCGAATATCTGGAGCATAGAGGACATCATGTAGGAATAGGCTTCGACCACCACGAAAGGTTAATTTACATGTGCCAATACCCTTCACTTCAACTCTTGAGTTATTTCCAACATATATCCATCTTTTTCTAGGCTGTATCCGACGATACTCCACAAATGCTCCTCGGTCTCTAGCTACGTAGTCTGTTGCTCCTGAGTCTACAGTCCACATTGGATGAGATTTAGCAAGCATTACAGTGCTAGAAACAAAAGCATTACTCAAAGTAATGGAGTAATGTGGTACCTTTTTCGGCTCAGTGCATTCACAAGCGAAGTGGCCTAATTTACCACAATTGTAGCACATCATCTTGGCCTTGTCCTTCTTCCCGCCACGCTTCTTGCGTCGGAAAGTCTTGGCTCTCTTGGGTGCCTGATCAGTCTCTTTTCCTTTGTTGTTGAATTTATGATTTCTCTTGCGCTTAAAGCCCGAAGCTTTACCCGAACCTGATTCAGCAACATAAGCATGGGTAGAGGATTTTGCAGCCTCTAGGCGCTCATCTTCTAATTCCAAATGACGCGCAATATCGTCAAAAGTGACGATATTCTCATTGTGCATCATATTGATTTTCATATGTTCCCAGCTATTAGGAAAAAACCTTATAACAACCTGAACTTGCTGTTCGTCAGCTAAGGTATGACCTACCGACTTCAACTCACATATCATGTTTGACATCTCCCGAAGATGCTGCCTCATCGATAGATTTGAGAGCTTCCGGTATATGTCAAATTTGATGGTGAGCCTCCTCAACTTAGTGGCAGACGTACCCCCAAACTTATCTTTCAAGGCAACCCACATTGCTTGAGCTTTGTCATAACTTTCAAACTCACACATGAGATCATCTTGCATACAACTTAACAACGTGATGCGAGCAATGCTATTTTTGTTTTTCCAAGCTTGAAAAGCTTCTCGATCTCTTTTGTGTTGAGTAGAAGTTCCATGCTCAGGTTCATCCATGGTGTGGTTGAGGGTTTCCAAAACCTTTTGCTCCTCAAGGATATATTGAACTTTTCGGTGCCAAATATCATAATTGTCACCGTTCAGCTTCTCACCCTTATTGAGGTCAGCCACAATGGTCTTGGATGCCGAAGCCATAATCACTATCTAATACACATTGACATAATAAACGCAGAATCAATACTAGCACATTTTCCACATAAACACACATATTATAATTTGCAACAAAGACAAACTAAATTAATGATAATTCAATAAAAGACACCAAAACGAAAGTTCACGATGTTCTCAATCAGTTTCAACATATGATTGTTCTACTATCATTAACTTGTTTAATTTGTGTGAATTTTAAGTTCTAGGTGAGAATTTCTTCTAATTCTACCAACCTACGAACTCCCACTAGAAAAGATAATTCACAAAAAATATTTAACATAATGGTCATATCCTTTCTAGCAATCATATAGCATGGCATGATGTAAATCAACAAATAGAACATTCATGCAACAAATATAATCAACAGCAGAATTCATGACGTAATGAAAAAATAAGGATCTCCAGCCATTGTTCGAGTATGCTCAGAACTAGGGAATTGCAAGCACGTTAAACCTTATAAACATGCCATCAATGAATCATGCTCTACATAATCTTTATGTGGTCATTTACATGTAAGCCAGCTTCTGTATTTCCAAAATCATAGGGAAATACAAGTAAAATGCAATAATACCCTAAAAATACACGTATTTTAGGGTTCCGTATGCATTTTCATACCTTTAAAAGCTTTAAACATATAAAATAACTATACCACAATGTAGAGAATTTGAATACGAATACAACTGTACCAACCACGCTCCAATCAGAGCTCCCACGCACCCACACATGCCGTCTAAGTGCGTGGCGAGTGTGGCGCACGCGCCTGCCCTATACGGGCTTCTGAGCCGGTCCGACCGGTCTAACCGGTCCGACCGGTCCAACCCGTTCGACCGTTGACCGGTCCGATCGGTTGACCGTTGACCGGTCACGGGTCGGGTCGCCTGGTCGGGTCACCGGCAGGATCGGGTTGCGAGTCGGGTCAGGTCGCCGGAGGTTGGTTGGCCGGCAAGATGACGTCATCAATAACGTCTGCGTGTCGTTACCAACAGTTTTGCTAATGTCATCGATGACGTCAGCATGCGTCGTTTGGCCGACGCGCACGTGCTATTCACACGCTGGCAGTGCCAGCGCTTTGGGCATGTGGCTTCCACGCGCCGCGTCTTCTGGCCGCGCGTGTGGGTGCGTCTAGCGTCTTCCGATGGCGTTCGACCCACCGTTCTGCTCGTCTCGACGAGTTCTTCAATTCTGTATAATAAAAAATGATTTTCACCGTAAAAAGTTTTTCGAAAATCATCCAAACAGAACGATCGCCCGTAACCTTCAAACCCATTCTTCGTTTCAATTCATGTTCGACGATTCATCTTGCAATTCCCGAGCAACGAACATGCAGACAATATGAAGTTCATCATCATGATCTCCATATCAAACAGCAAGCGGAAAAAATCAACGGGAAAACAAGGCAGAGATCATAACCGATGCTCTGATACCAATGTTGGAAGCGATTGTCGGGTCAATCGACTAACCTATTCGATGCACTACGAACAAAATTTCCATGATTGTACGTTGAATCACCAGCAAACGATGAACGAATCTACTTCACATTGGTCCGAATACAATCACAGGGAAAGTATTCTTGTTCCACAGCGTTAATGCCGATTGTCTTCTCAAAGTAGATATGGAATTCTTATACGTGGAGAGAGAGAGAGAGTTCTAATTATCTCTTGTATATTGTTCATCTTCTGAGGAAGTTATCTTAACTTCCCTTAAGAAACTCTCCTTGCACCTCTTCAAAATGTGTCTCTCAGACACACTTCTTATTGGAGCAAATGGTGTCCCTTGGACACACACATCATGGTCGGACCGACGAAAAATAACAGTAGCAAACTATGAATTGGCCAATATCTGCAAAGAATATATCGGGCTAGTACGCAGTCTTTGTGTTCGGTTTTGTAATCAGTAAGTCATCCATTGCATACACTAAAGAAGTAATATATGTGTAGGGCATAGATCAGTTCATGCACTGAATGGTCGCGTTATTTCGATTCGCGCCGATGGTATGCTAGCATTGGACCCTATATTCGTGGCCGGACCATATTTCAATTCAATAATAGCGTGACAAGTTAATTTCACCTTTCTTTCCATAGGAAAAAGGATCCACAGAAATCGATCCGCTGAAAATTCACCGTCGCAATGCATGCCATGCATTCAATTTTATACGGTATATACATTGAACAAGTCTACACGATCGGATGGTGCACAGACATGAAAATTATATTCCTCTTCTAAGTATCTACTTTGCTCGATCAATTTACATTTCGATATTTTGATCTATACTACTTAATCGTGTAGTCCAACTTTGCCATCACATTCATTTTGATAATAGCGAAAGATGCGCGCTGCCGTTTTTACAAACATCGATTTTGTTAACAATTTTATTACCAAACGTAATTTGGTGGAATAACTCCGACTGATTTTTTTTAATAGTGTCGATGGGCGGATCTTGATTGACTTTTCACTTAATCGAAAAATCGCGGCTCACCCACAGCGACATTTTTCATTCAGGAAAAGCATATTCTTTCATGATATGTAAGTTGACATGTAGACTCACATAAATTATCCTAGTATTGCACCGCAGGCTGACCAGTTTTAATAAGGGATAAGTATATTAGAAGTCCTAAAACTTGTCACGAAAGTGCAATTGAATCCTAAAAATTTCAAAAAATGCAATCAATAGAAGGACTTTAGACCAATTTGACAAGTTTTAGGACTTAATTGCACTTTTTGAAAGTTTTATGACTCAATTGCATTTCGTGACAAGTTTCATAACTTACTTGCGCTTTTTGAAAGTTTTAGAACTCAATAGCACTTTCATGACAAATTTTGAGACTTTCGATGTAATTTTAAATTTTATAAAAGAGATTTTTTTGTCGGCCTCTTCTCTCTCTCATTCACGTCTGCACCTCGGGCTTGTGCCCTCGCCTCTTGCAGGGCGTGGGCGTCAAAACCCACATCTTAAACTACGCGGCCCCACCCCTACCCCCTGCGAAGGTGGGGAGTCCCCTTCTCAAGTGAGAAGGGTGGCCACTGGGGTAAACCCCCGGTGGTTTTATAAAATAGATTTACCTCGTGAGTATAGTCACCATTTTGATCTTTGTCCTCGACCCGCATAATTTGGGCCCGAGGCCCAACAAAAGAAGCCCATTGGGCTCGATCTTCTTCGCCACTTCCAAATCTGTCGTCCCTTTTTCTTCACAAACTCCAAATACCCAAAATCCTCCGCCGCTCGCGGCTGAGAATTTTCCTCCGTCGCCAATGGCGGCCGTCCTCATCCGCTGCGCCGTCCTCTCCCTCCCTCCTCGCCCCGCGAGAGCCACCGCGTCTCCGCCGCAGCCTCGTCTCACCGCCGCCGCCTCCGCCGCCGCTCGCAAACCCTTGAAGCTCGCGAAGCGAAGGAACCACCTCCGCCCCAAGATCCTCAGGACCCTCGCTAAACCCTACGCCCCTCCCATCCGAGCTCCCGAGGAACCCCCGTCGGACGCCGTCGTTCCGGCCCCGTCCCCCGAAACCCTAACCGGCCTCTTCGAAGCGGAGTCTCCGGCGGAAGAAGCTTCTCCGGTCTCGGAGAGCGTGGGCGTCGGTCCCGAGCACGACGGCGTCGCCGGGAAGTTCTCGGCCAGGTCTGTGATAAAGTTCGGCGCTTATTTGGTTGTGGTTTTTCTGTTCCAGACGATTTGTGCTGTTTGGGTGTTCGGTAGCAATGGCTCCGATTCTGCTGGTGAAAGTGAGGAGAGGACTTTGGTGAATGGGGAGGGGAGGGCGGTGTCGGGAAAGTTCTCGTCGAGGACGAGGAATGTGGTTTATTTGGATGAGTCTGACTTGGAGAAGAGGATCGAGGAGATAAGGTCGATGGCTAGGGAGGTGCGGAGGCGCGAGAAAAGGGGACCGAAGAGGGATGATACCGGGGATGGTGAGAGCGGCGACGGCGACGATGATGATGATGGTGAGGCGATTGCCGAGAGCAGGATGGCCATGATCGAGAAGGAGATTGGTTCTCGGTTGGATAAGCTGCAAAAGAAGTTGGGCCCTGTTCGGAAATCACCAGGTCTAAGTAAAAAAGTGCCGCTCGAGGGAGCTAGTAGCTTGATGTTCAAGAAAAAGTTAAAGTTTAGAAGCCCTTTGGTGGAGAAACCCAGCGCTAATCCGAAGGGGTTTCAGGGGTTACAAGACAATGGTAAAACAAAGAAGAAAAGCAGTAGTGAAGTCAATGGGGAAGGGCAAAATGGAGGTCTTAATCACGGTGTTACGGAATCATCAAGCGGAGAAAAGTGGGAGGAATTGGTTGATGGTAAGGGGCATGGCGGTCTTTCCAACGATATTAAACGAGAAGATGATGAAACCATGGTTTTCAAAGAGATGCAGGATGATTTGCATAATGATGGGGTAGGCGAAGGGCAATCTTTTACTCAAGTGGATGAAGAAGTTGGAGATACTCGAAGCAGAACTGGTAAGGTAAACTCTTTTCAGTTGATATAAGATTTGCGTTCAAGATGCTTGCTCGATGTGGAAGCCATGTGCTATAATAGGTAGTTTGCCATAATCACATGTGAATCCTGACTTTCTGAAATCGGGAGTTTAGAAGATGGAGTATCATAAGTTTGAATGATCAACGTAATATACCAGTCTGTTCCATATAATTGAAAGTTATTTATACATTTTTTAGGCATTGTCGAGGAGGCTAGTGGGAAAAGGAATTCAATTGGAGGAGCAAACTTGAGAACAACTGGAAATTCCAGATTGCAGAGTTCTCGAAGCTTTGGGGATGAAAAGCAGCAGGAGGTTACAAAAAGATCCGCTGGGCGAGATGTAAAAAGTATCAATGGCACTTTGAAGTGTGAAGAAATTAAAGCCACATCAATGAGCAAGAGAGTCAAGGATAAGCAATCGGATAAAATTCAAGAATTTTGGTGGTTGAAGCTTCCTTGCGTATTTGTATCTTCTTAACATTCGCCCACATTTGTCATTGACTTAGCTATTGTAGTGGCCACTTAGGGACTTGCAGCTGTTGACTTGTATAGCTAGGTGATTGCTTGCTAATCTTGCAGTCATAGCATGCCGAAGAGTTGCTGACTATCCTAGCTTACCCGTTTGATGCCAGCCCTTTTGCTTCCTGTTTTTCATTAATCTTACCATCATTCCGCGCTCATTTCGACTCACCACTGATTTTCTCCCTCTCTCAAACAGATTGACCTACCTTTTAGGTTGCACAGCACTATAGATATTTCCATGAAGAATTTCAATAACGTGAATCACTGTTTAATTTTATTATACATTCAGCTCTTTTTTGTGATGCTTCTCCTGAATGATATCTGCTATGGGAAGAAATTGATATGAGAACGTTGTCATTTTTAGTCAGATCTGTTTATATCGGGCTAAGTAGTTTTAGCTTGTTTACTGCCCCCTAATAGAGTATAAACAAAGATATACCTTACTTTTGCCTTCCGACATCATCTTAACTCACAAGTACTTAGCTTTTATTACGTTTTAATGCTGTCGGTTTTCTATACCAAAATTTTGTCAGGGTTTCCATTTGCACTCCTGACATGCAATTCATTCAATTTAAATTGTGGTGTAGAAGAATATTCATTTAGGACTTGAAACATACTTTTCTCGGAGTATTATTAATCATAAATGAATCGACATTTAAGAAATAATGGCTTTATGGAAGTTGAAGGTAAATTTACATTGCAAAACATTCCTTCTGGTACTGGTGCTCTTTATATGACATTTATTTGCCGGTCATGATGCGGTTTACTATTCTTGAAGAACACAACAGCAAAACCTTTTTTTGGCGTTTTAACTTCTAGCACTCCCCAACTAATGTTAGTATAATTTCAGGCTATTCTTATGCGTAGAGGCTCTGATTTGGAAGAACCAGGTGGATTCTTTACCTTAAAGACTGCTCCAGAAGACAGTGATGCTTCTTCCTTCACAGTTGCTTTCGAGGACCGTGTTGATGCAAACAATTTCTGCTTTTTGCTGGAGTCCTTCTTCGAGGAGCTGGGTGATTTCAGTGCTGACATCGTACCTCTATTGAGAAAAGTAAGAATCTCAACTTTCCTGAAAAGTACTGATGCTTTTATATACGTGATTGGCGAGAATTTCTAGCTTCAATACAACTATATGAGGTTCAGAATAAGTTCGTGGAGAGATTGAATCCCTCTAATGTCATATTAATTCTCTTATGTCGGTATTGTTGAACTGAGCTAGCTATCCTTCTGAATGACAAAAAGTCAATGCTACCGTTCCAGGGTGTGTTGAGTATTAAAATTGATCTTTGTAAACTTGAGGATTGGAATTTTGAACATCTGCAGGAACTTCAAGAGGCCATGAAAGAAAAGACCATGCAAATGGTGGTTGTAAGGAAGGGGCAGCTTAAGCTTTATGCTGGACAGCCATTTTCTGATGTTGAGCTAGCCTTCCAGTCTTTGGTTGAAGAAAGCCTGTCAGAGTGAATTTAAGTACATAGACAATTGGACACAGATATTTTCCCAATCCACCATTGAACGTTTCTGAACCATAGCTTCCCATTCCGAGTTTTTTGTCTCTTCTGCTGATTGTGAATTTGCTAGATGGCCGAGCGCTCCTTCGCCAATGATCTTTCCTTCAGCTGGTCGTGCTTTTGAATTTTGGAAATCCAAAGGGTCCAAGCACAGGGCAAGCCTCGTCTGGGGCAACTTGATTTTGAATATTCAAAAGCACGTATCAACGAAGGAGAGATTATTGGGCAAGGAGATCTCAGCCATCTTGCAAATTCACTCCTGTTCAGCAATGCTCAATGATGGATTGAGAAAATCGCTGTGTCCAATTTGCATTTGGCGAGGTGGCTTACAGCATCGGCATGATATGGTTTCGTAGGTATGGCCTGGTTCTAGTCACTAGATATTTTCAGTTTTGGGTTTCGCGTGTACACCGGTTGAAATTCAACAAATTCAGCTGAGCAGCAATTCTTTGTCAAGTCTAATCTATTGATGATGTTTCGGATTTAAAAGTTGCTCAAATTGTCCAAAAAAAAGTAAAGTTTCTAAAACTTAAGACTGCTGGAATAATCACGGAGTTTGGACATTGACCGGGCGTCACGGTCGCGACCGGCATGAGTGGCCTGGTCACGGCCATGACCAGTTACAGCCATGTGGGCCTGGACGAGGTCATCGGATAAAAGAGAGAGAGAGAGAACTATCAGTACCATGAGGGAGCTAGCCGGGAATGGCAACAGGGATGCATCCAGCGACACAAGTTAGCGCTGAAGGAATGATAAAATGCGTCGAAGTCGGAAATTGCAGCTTCTACGGTGTGGGTAGTGGCTCCGACAATCCTGCTTCCTTCTTTCCTTTAGCATTGTCCTGTTGACAGAATGCACGTACGCACATAAAGCTTCATTGTTTTCCTCCATGTTCACCTATCCTTCCTAAGCAAATCCAGTAATGGAGCCACCCATTTAGAGTAGATTTTGATAAAACTTATGCTTAGTCTAAGAAAAATTGCGGCTCACTGACTTTACTTGCATCGGCCGATCCTGGATAGCTGCCTCCTCCTGCTCATCACTGACTTTACTCTCATCGGCCGATCCCAGATAGCGGCCTCCACCTTCCGCTCATCCATCTTTACAGTATTTGCCGACCATATGACCGAGGAACTTGCTCTCTTTCGCCTCATTTATTTTTCTTCGTACATGGAATGCCCAATCACTTGAGACATAAGCAACCGCAAATGCAACAATTCACTATAGACCACGATATCTAAGTACACTACCGGAAACTTGTCGAGATGATGAGCGAATGTGTCATTTGTCAAGTTACAGAATGTGGCGGGAACATTGGTTAAACCGAAAGGCATTGCAAGAAATTCGCACGAACCATGCCAAGCGACCATCATCGTAGTCTTTCGACTCCTCCTGTTCTGCGATTCTCACTTGCCAAATAACCTGAACACGAGTCCAGCTTCGAAAGTACACAGGTGGAGCCAGATACTTGTTCGTTATTGTCACCTTGTTCAAGCCCCCTGTAATTAACACGTAGATGCAGCGATCCGTCTTGCTTTCGCGTCCAATGAAAGGGGAGCTCCATAATTTTTGGACGGGCCTAAGTAAGAAGAGCCTTTAGCTATAAGGTCCAGCCTGGATCGACTGAATCGAACCGTGTTCATCTAGGTCGAAAGATATTTTAGTACTAGTTTAAGATAATATAATTTGATTCTTTAGAACTAATAAGGTGGGAGATTTTCCAATTAGTGCTTGCTAGTAAAGTATCTGGATAGATACGTGTGTGTGTGTGTGTTTCGGGGGGGAGTTGTCCAAAAAGTCCTAAACATATTATATTTTTACCTATTCAGTCTTAAACCTTTTCACTTCTTGCCAATTGAGTCTTAAATCTTTTCACTTCTTACTAATTGAATCCATTTGGCTAATTTTAGCCGGAAATTGCTAACGTTAGCATTAACTGGCCTTCGTGGTGCTGACATAGATAATTTTTAATGATATTTCAATATTTTTCAAATTTTTATATTATTTTTTCTATTTATTTCCCTTTTCTTTTCTTTCTTTTTTTTCCTCCTTTCTTCCTAGAAAAAGGAAAAAAAAAACAGGAAAAAGAATAGAAAAGAAAAATAAAAATAAAATATTATTAAAATATTATTAAAATTATCCACTTCAGCGCCACGTAGGCTTGTTAGCATCCACGTCAGCGAATCCTGACCAAAATTAGTCAAATAGACTCAATTGACAAGAAAAGAAAAAGTTTAGAACTCAATTAGCAAAATTGAAAGGTTTAAGATTGAATTGACAAAAGCACAATATGTTTAGGACTTTTTTGACAATTTTTCCGTGTATATTTATAATTGGGTTTTTGAGCATTAATGATGTGGCAGGTTTTGTGCATTAGTGTTTGCCATTTAAATATATATTATTATTGCTGACCAAAAATATATATATTATTATCTTCTTCTTCTATATATGAGTGGACTTTTTTAGCATTAATGATGTGGGAGGTTTTTGCGTATTCATGTTTGCCATTAGGATATATTCTTATCGTTATCATAATTATTATATAAAATGTGAATTTTTGTAATTAATGTAGGCTATGAGATTTATTACCTTTCAAGTTGCACCTTTCATGCTAACCACTATCCCGGATCTAGTTCATGTATCTTGATGGTAGTCAAATATCTTCAAGGTTCTTTAATATTTAATAAACATTTGGTTAACCAATGGCAATGAAATTGCTAAATAAAAAACCTTAGATTTCACGCCACAACAGCGATGGAAAGAACATCTAGTAATTACTAAGCGAAATCAAAAACATTGATGGCTGTTTTGATGAAGGCCAGCACCACGACCTTAAGGTTGGGCTGAGGAGGCTGATCGTGAGGCTCGGGACACTGAGGAATAGCCGCCGACCACTAGAACAACTACTGGAAGCACCGAACAGCAAAACTGGCGTGATAGCCGGTGATGGAACCGAGGAGGAGATCGAGCCGGTTTGTGGCCTTCCGATGATGCTCTGGCGTGGATGAAGTTGCGACCGGCTAGGGGGGACGCCAAGGGATGTCCGCAAGGTGGTGGCTTGTCGGAGGAAGGCCAGCGACCAGCCGGTTTGGGTGGTAGAGGCTCCAGTTGAGAGATAAAGTGAGATGAGAGTGTTTAGCAATTTAAAGTAGTCAAATTAACCTATATAAATGAGAAAACATTTTAAATAAAATTAAGAGAATTTTTTTAAATTGGTTAACATAGTTATAAATATCACATTTCTTTACTAATGTCTAAAATAACGAGTAATAAAATTAACTCTAAGAGAATGAGAAAGTCATTATTTTATAATTACATGAAAAATTAATCCTAATATGCACAAGATGTGATGTAGTAAAATTTTAGAAAAAGTTTACTCATATATCTATACATTATTGGAAGAAAAATTAACTTTGTCGCTTGCAATATTATACACTATAGAGAGCAAAATTACTTTAGCTATATTGAATACAATATGTAGTAAAATATAATACTAGAGCTAATATTAGTGAAAGGATAACAATTACTCAAAACAAGATGACCAAAATGATAGAGTCAAATTAAATATAAAATAATGGTGGTAAATTCATCTTTTGTAGAAGATGACAAATAAAATGCTTGGCGAGTGTAAATTGAATATGTTATGTAAGACAAATGAATCCATAACATTCAATTACAAGATATATAACATAATAAAGTGATATTTTATTTATGATTTTACGATTATTGTCATTGCTCTAACTCTAAAAATCATATTTTTTTATAAGTTGAATGTTCAAGAGTAGCGAAACAGATTCGATAAAATTAAAAATTTAAGTGTAAAAAACCCATACGAAGCACATGGGCAATTATGCTAGTCCCTTTTTATATATATATTAAAAATATAGATATAAAACAAAGATATAAGCAAAAAAATAAAAAGAATAAATTTAATTAGTAATACACAAATCCCTCCGATAATCTTTTTTCCTTCGGCCATACATATGTGATCAAAGGAAGTGGCTACAGCCATAGAAACTCTCTGCGCGGCAGCTGAGAATTCTGGGTAATCCTATTTTTAGGCTTCATTAAACTGTGCTCTGATGTGTTGATTTCATGACAGTGAAAATGGTAGATTGGTTCGCTGACTTTCCCATCTTCTTCGGGTCGTTTTTGTTGTGTCCTTTTGTGTCCCTTTCCTCTCCTTTTCGATCTGTATTATAATGATTGCTTTTGGCGCTGGATTGCTTCGTTGCCTTTCTCCTTGTGTTGTGCGTTCTGGGCATTGGGGAGACTTCCATGTTTTTCTTCTTTCAGACAATCCCAGATATGATACTGTGAAAAGATGCGTCTGCTTTGAAAATGTGCCCTTTAGTCTAAGCCGTCGAGGGTTTTTAGTTTCAGGGATGGAAGGACTTTGAGCACAGAGAGCAAAATGTATTTCATCTCAGGACCTACTGCATTTTGGTCAATTGCTATCCTCTTTTCTGCATAGCCTGCAGAAAGTATCTGCTTGTATGGCGCGCTCAGGCTTTGGAAAGGGCCTTGCTAGCAATTTGGAATGATCCCAGATGGATGTCGCAATGGGAAAAAATCACGAACTTCGCAGTAATAACTTCTGTTTTGAAACATGTTGCAGCTTGCGGAGAAGGCTAACGACGCCTTCGAGTGCTGATAGGGAGGTAAAGAATCAAAATGCAGCAGAGGAGGTCTTCGACGGGCCGGCCAAGTGGAACGGACGGTTCAGATTTCTCCTACCGCGTGACTGTTGACTCCCGTGAGCTCCCGTCCATCCATATTTGCTGTCTGCTTTTCATTTGGTTATTCTCGTGCCTATCATTTAGTAATTTTTTGTTTTTCCGAATGCGTGTTCCTTTGTTTTTGCGTCCCTGCCATTTTTAAGTTCAATCATAAATAGAATGCAATTTGTTTTAGCGCACACTTTCAGATGCTTCTTGCCTCTTCAACTGCTCTCGTGACCTCTCGTTCCTTTTCTATGAACTTCTGCAAATTATATGCATCTAATTCGGCAAAACAATCTACGTATGAAATTGATGACAGCCACATACTATCATGAAAATAAGAAATCATTTTCATTGTGTTAATACAGTAGTAAAGTATTTACAGCAAATTAGGTACAAATTCTCTATTTTGGCATCGAATATGAATCTAGTTTATATCTGTTGGACTCATTTATTGACCACCTAGAAATATGAAAGGGAGTTCGATCATTCCTAATTCCATCTATGACACAAACGTCAAAATATATTTATATAGGGAAAATAGATAATAGCAATATATTAGATTTATAAACAAAATATTAATTCACTAGTTGTACCTCATTTTGCCCATGTTTTTAATCAATAGACAAGTTCGAATCTTAGTGGGTAAGAATTTAAATCCTTAGTTCCTTTTCTGACTATAGTTAAAGTAAAAACATGACTGCAAGTATAGTAGAAAGATGTTATGTT